TTTAAATCATATATACTCCATTATTGTATATATCTTTAGTTTCCTTGTGTAACTACAAACACTTGTATATATTTGGTTCAGCTTTATGAATACAAATCATTGGTTTCCAGTTACAAAGCTTGCTCCAATAGTGGTATCAGAGCAAAAATCTCAAACGAGACCAGTACTCGACAACCATGGCTGAGGCAACACCCAAAACCACAGAATCTATCCAGTCAAGCAATGGCAAAATTGTGATAACCACACCTGCTGTTACCAACACTAATAGCAGTTCACACAACATAATAGCTTTCGTTGTTGCCCAATTTCCAGTCAAACTCACCTCAGATAATTACACCATGTGGAGCCGACAATTCACATCACTGCTTCGAGTTTATCGACTGACTGATTTTTTACAGGGCACCAGGCCATGTCCTCCAGAGGATGACTTACCCGACTCACCATATGATTTATGGGTGAGGCAAGATCAATCAATACAATATGCAATTCTGACTTCAGTGTCAGAATCCATTCACCCGTATGTCTCTAGTGCTGAGACGTCACATGAAGCTTGGGTGATTCTTGAAAGGCTTTATGCAAATAGCTCTCGCACAAGAGTAAATGCATTGAAAGAAAGGCTACAAAACCTTCGATGTGAAGGTCGAGCAGTGGCAGAATATCTTCGCATCGCAAAAAATTTGATTGATCGGATTGGAAACGCAGAAAAGGTACCCCTAAGCAACTCTGATATTCAAGTTTATCTTCTTAATGGTTTGGGACATGAATACAAGGAATTCAAGGCTTCAATTCGAGCCCGTGATGGACCCCCACTGTCATTCGAAGATTTACAGGACAGACTTTTAGCTCATGAAGAGTCCTTACAAAGAGAGGAAGCCCTTGTCAATGATAATAATACACCCATTACAGCACAATTTGCTTCTGTGCATCCTCGCATAGTTGGGAACCACAACAGCTATGGTGGCTTCAGTGACCGAAATTTAGTAGGTGGTTATCAGAATTCTAGAGGACTCCAGGAATACTCAAACCGATCGCATAGACCCAATTCTGGCACCAACCAATATGTTCCAATGGGCCGTGGAGGAAGCTGAGGACACCGTGGAGCTCGAGGAGGAAAAATAATCGAAATTCCTTCAACAAGTATAACAATCGCAATACCAATGCCTGTCAATTGTGCAACAATTTTGGACATTTTGCTAGGGACTGTCCAGAGCTCAAAAATCATGCCCATGTTGCCAACTTTGCTACAACTTCCACTTCGAAAAAGGGTGATTGGTGTATAGATTCTGGAGCCTCTGATCATGTTACTCCTGACTTGGCAAACTTGGCACTTCACTCAGAATATGACAGGCCTGATGAACTGCTAATTGGTGATGGATCAGGTTTGACTATTTCACATGTGGGTCACACCACACTTCCAACCAACACTAAGCCTTTAACCTTAAAAAATGTTCTGTGTGTACCTCATGCCCCGTGTAACTTGATTTCTGTTTCCAAATTATGTCGCAATAATAATGTGTTGATTGAGTTTCACTCTGAGTATTTTCTTGTGAAGGATCGCACTATGGGGGTGACGCTTCTTCGAGGACCCAATCAACATGGCGTGTACCGGCTACCAACTCAAAGTCCAATTAAATCAAATCCAATGGCACTAATTGGTGAAAAAATGTCCATCATGGATTGGCATGCAAGATTGGGACATCCTTCGTCAAAAACTCTGCATAAAATTATTAGAAGTGTTACTCTGCCACTCTCTAATAAATCTAGGTCTTCCTTATGTGAGTCATGTTTATGTGCCAAAAGTCATAAGTTGCCTTTTGGAGCGTCTTCTATTTCAAGTAATAAACCTTTGGAAATAATATTTTCAGATGTTTGGGGCCCAGCTCCTTCAATGTCTTTTGATGGTTTCCTTTACTATGTGATTTTTGTAGATTTATTTAGTCGTTACATTTGGATCTTTCCTATCAAACGAAAATCTGAAGTTGCCTTAATTTTTCAAAAATTTCGCACTCTTGTCGAATATCAATTTGGAACCACAATTAAATCCTTTTATTCTGATGGTGGTGGGGAATATCTTGCCTTACGTGATTTTTTCCAAAAGAATGGTATATCACACTTTATTACTCCCCCTAATACACTCGAACTAAATGGGATTAGTGAACGTAGGAATCGTCACATTGTTGAAACTAGTCTAGCTCTCTTACAAGCTGCATCCCTTCCGCCACGATTTTGGAGTCATGCTTTTACAACTGCTGTGTATCTCATTAATCGTCTACCCGGACCTACTTCCACCTCCCCTTTTGAAAAATTATTTCATGTCAAACCTAATTACCTTAAGCTTCGAGTTTTTGGCTTCACCTGTTATCCATGGCTGCGCCCATACAACTCCAATAAACTCCAACCTCGCTCTCGGAAATGTGTTTTTCTCGAGTACTCTATTGATCACCTTGGGTATAAATGTTTTGATCCTTCTACTAGCAAAATTTTTATTTCTCGGCATGTTGTTTTCAGTGAGCATGACTTCCTTTTCCACAAGCCACCTCCCCTTGCAACCGGTACCACCGTGCCTCAGGCTCGTCCTCAAGTAGCAACCCCCAGTGTGTCCTCCTCAGAAATTAATCAGGTATGCTCCCTCAACTCTTTCTCTAGTTCTCATTCGGCCCATGCCCTTACCTCTTCACCCATTCTTTTACCGGCCCACCACTGCACAACCCCACCAGTTCCACATTGTTCTCCCTTGCGGTCAAGTGCCCAATCATCTCCACCCACCAAGGCTGACACAAACTCCATGTCTCACCAACCTACATCCACCTTACCTTCATCTCCTGCCACAAGCTCACAGCTTATGCCCACCAATGCTACCTCACTTTCTCCCTCTTCCAATGCCACCACCGACTCATCTCTAACCCCACAGCCACCACCTGTACCCTCCCGCACCCATGGCATGATCACTAGGTCTCAAAATAATATTTTTAAACCCAAGACCCTATTTACTATGACTAAACACCCAATTGATCCCCCTCTAGAACCCACTTGTGTTAGTCAAGCCTTGAAACATCATCACCGGCATCAAGCTATGTCTGATGAGTTTAATGCCTTGGTAAGACAGGGTACGTGGGAGTTAGTTCCCCCTAGTAACCATCAAAATGTCATTGGCTGCAAGTGGGTATTCCGAATTAAACGTAACAACGAAGGGAGAGTGGAAAGGTATAAAGCTCATCATGTGGCCAAAGGGTTTCATCAACGACCTGGTTCTGATTACTTTCATACTTTCAGCCCTGTTATTAAACCTATTACTATCAAAATTGTGCTTTCTCTGGCACTTAATCAGAATTGGCCCATTCGTCAACTTGATGTCAACAATGCTTTTCTCCATGGGAAGCTCGAAGAAGAACTATTTATGGCCCAACCACCTGCGTTTGTTGATGCTAGCTTACCCCAGCATGTTTGCAGGCTTCGGAAATCTATATATGGTCTGAAACAGGCCCCTCGCACCTGGTTTAAAGAGTTGAGGATGTTTCTACTTTCTCATGGGTTCCAGAATTCCAGATCAGATACCTCTCTTTTTATATATCATCGTGGCTCTGATTGCCTATATTTTTTGGTTTATGTTGATGATATTATTGTGACCTGCAGCAACCCGAAGTTAGTTGATTCGTTAATCAAGTTGATGGGGAACACCTTCTCTATTAAAGATTTTGGTGCTCTTAATTATTTCTTGGGTGTTAATGCCATTTTCACTCCTGCAGGCCTTTTTCTTTCACAGGCTCAGTTCATTCGTGATTTATTGGATAAATTTGGTATGGCTGAGGCTAAACCGGTTTCCTCCCCAATGGCTACTACTGCTCTTCAGTTGCACCAAGGTCTCAAACTTTCAGATCCTTCTTCGTATCGGAGTCTTGGGCTTTTTGCAATATCTTAATCTCACTCGGCCGGATATTACCTTTGCTGTCAATCGTCTTTCCCAGTTCCTTCATGCACCATCTAATGTGCATATGCAGGCTGCCAAGCGTATCTTACGTTATCTCAAAGGGTTTGTCTTTCATGGACTTCTACTTCGCCGGCAACCTTTGTCTCCTCTTCATGCCTTTTCTGATTCTGATTGGGCCGGTGACAAGGATACCCTTCAGTCTACCACTGGCTTCATTGTGTTCTTGGGCAGCACTCCAATTTCTTGGAAGGCTTGTAAACAAAAGGTTGTTGCTCGTAGTTCAACTGAGGCGGAGTATCGTGCGTTAGCTGCTACTTCCTCTAAGGTCATTTGGGTCTGTAATATTCTCCGCGAACTGGGTCATCTTGTCTCTTCTCCGCCTGCCATATACTGTGATAATATTGGTGCCACTCATCTTAGCAGCAATCCCGTAATGCGTACTCGCATGAAGCACATTGCCATTGATCTTCATTTTGTGCGTGAATTAGTGGATTGAAAACTGTTGTGGGTCAGTCACATCTCCACTGTTGACCAACTTGCCAATGGGCTAACTAAACCTTTATCTTCAGCCCGCTTCTCTCAATTGAAATCCAAGATTGGAGTTACTGATGGTAGCTCCATCTTGCGGGGGCCCACGGCAACAAATCCGGTCATCAATTCCAGCAATCCTCACTCATGAATTACGGCAACACAATCCCCGCTCGTGAATGACAGCAACAAGACTCAATCTTGGCAACTATATATTCTGTATTATAGTAGCATATCAGTTACTGTTTTAAATCATATATACTCCATTATTGTATATATCTTTAGTTTCTTTGTGTAACTACAAACACT